AGAGTACCTGTACTATTATAATAGCCCATGGGTTTTTTCCAAAAAATGGCTCCAAAATCACCCCAATTTTTAATTACATTTTCCGATACATATTGACGTCCTTATGCTGTGTAGAAAGTTTGAAGTAATTTCGACTTCAATTTTTCAAGTTACAGCCAATTTAAGAAAATGCCAAAAATCTGAAAAATACCCAAGGCTATAGCCCATGGTTTTTTCCTAAAAATGGCTTCAAAATCAACCCAAGTTTTTATTACATTTACTAATACATATTGATGTCCTTATGCTGTCTAGAAAGTTTGAGCTGATTCCAACTTCAATTTTTCAAGTTACGGCCATTTTAAGAAAACGCCAAAAATCAGAAAAATACCCTGTACTATAGCCCATGGTTTTTCCCAAAAAATGGCCAAAAAATCACACCAAATTTTTATTACATTTTCTGATACATATTGGTGTCCTTATGCTGTGTAGAAAGTTTGAACCGATTCCGACTTCAATTTTTCAAGTTACAGCCATTTTAAGAAAACACCAAATATCTAAAAAATACCCTGTACTATAGCCCATGGTTTTTTCCAAAAAAATGGCCAAAAAATCACACCAAATTTTTATTACATTTTCTGATCCATATTGATATCCTTATGCTGTGTAGAAAGTTGGACCTGATTCCGACTTCAATTTTTCAAGTTACGGCCATTTTAAGAAAATGCCAAAAATCAGAAAAGTACCCAATGCTATTATAGCCCATGGTTTTTTCCAAAAAATGGCTCCGAAATTATCCCAAATTTTTATTAGATTTTCTGATACATATTGATGTCCTTATGCTGTGTAGAAAGTTTGAGGTAATTCCGACTTCAATTTTTCAAGTTACGGCTATTTTAAGAAAATGCCAAAAATCTGAAAAATACCCAATGCTATTATAGCCCATGGTTTTTTTTCCAAAAAATGGCTCTAAAATCACCCCAAATTTTTATTAAATTTTCTGATGCATACAATGTATATGCTTACATATGTTATGTTCTGATTGTCCATAGGCTCTCAGTTGTCATATGATTATTGTGTTTTCTGCAGCTCAAGACTACAAGAGCTTCCAGTGATCCTGCTGCTCGGGGTGAGGGCAGTTCATAATGGATTTGGATTGAACTTCACTCCTTCAATCCTTTCAGTCTTAAAGTGGGACATGATCATTAAAGACCCTCTTCAGTCAATCATACCGAAGACACTGGAAATGGTAAGTTCTTCTAATGGTAGCTGTATCTATTGTTGGTAACTTGTAATGTCCTCCCTCTCTTCTCTCTTAGTTGTGTTTTGATTCTAGTCTTTCATTTCATTTCACTCCTTCTTTCTCTCAGTCTCTTCTTGGTGGTTTTGAAGGTCAGCTCCTTCCAATTGCCAATCTCAAGAAGTCGATACAAGTATATTAAAGAAGGAAGCTCCATCTACCATTATTTTGTATATTGTTTTTAGTATCATTTATTAGAACACTTTTATTGGCAGCCTCTGAGTTTCCTGTGTGACTCCATCAGTTCTGGTACTATTAGGAAAGACATTAAATCATTATCAAAGGATCAGGTTGAGATGATTCGCTCATCACCCAGTATGATGAGGTATTGGTTGGTCTAATGAGTTGGAGCCAGTATTGATTGCTGTTATTGATATTTAGTTATGTTGAATCAGTTGATTTTGAAGAGAGAAAAGCACTGCTTCAAGATGATTCTCATTTAAAAGTCATTGAATTTATAACTACAGCAGTAATACCTTGTATTTTTCTAGGCAAAGGCAGAAGAATTTTTAAAAGATATCCAATTATTTTACCAATCTCTGGAACCAGCAGTAAAGACTCTTTACATATTACTGTATAGAAAAACATCAAAGGATAAATTGGTACAGATACATATGATTTGCTATTAGAATTTTCTTATAATTATTATAGGCTAAACTTAAAATGTTATTGAGTTACATTACTGAGAGTCAAGGGAAGGATTTCTATGTTCAGTGAGTAGGTTGATATGCTAACAGTGAATGACTGCTTCATCCTTAGAGCCATGAGGATACTGGATGAGACTGTACTGCAAAGGAACCTCCATGAGTCTATCACTTATATTAGTGCAGCCTGTC